CAGCTCTTGTGCCAATGCGATGGAGCCATTTAAAATCCACTCTGCGTCCTTACTCAGGGGTTTGACGTTGTGCCCAACCATGCAGCTCATCTGGGTTCGGTCCCCACCCTTCTCCCACGTTCCGTCGACCAGGGTATGAGTCGGAAGCCCGAATTCTTTTGGGTCAACCTTTTTGTTCTTCAAAAGCCCTCCATTGTACCAAATGAGATCGTCTCGCAAATCAACGTGTCCTATCACGAAGCTGCAGATTCTCTCGATTGAGTCGTTGACCTTGTCCTTGAACCAACCAACCATGGAGCCATAGTGCTTCTCGAAGGCATAAGTTGCCCCGCTGAGCTCGAGTCCAAACCACCAAGTCTCCTTGTCGCCGTACGTAATTTTGTAGCTGACTTCTTCGCGCACATCGTATGTGTTCTGCCAAGCTACGTGGAGCAGACCCATCAGCACATCCAGACGCGACTTATCAATAACGACTACACCCGAATCGCCCTCTTCGGCGTAGTCCTCGGTCCAGACAAGTGACTTATTTAGCGTGGCGCTAGGTTCGTGAATCTGCGACTTCCACCACTCGTGACGGTCGGCGAATGAGTGCTGCCAAAGTAGTCGATCGTGGAAAAGAAGTGCCCCTGTCTGCTCATATGACGGGTCTAAGAAAAGCGTCTCCGGGACCTGGACGAAGACCGAATCCGCATCTGAGAGAATGACCTCTTCAAACGGCGCATACAGAGCCGCAAAGGCTTTGATTGCCCATCCTCCCTTGACGAGCTGCAGAGTCGTATCGTCGACGACGCTTAGAACGTCCAGGAATTCGATCCCCTTGAAGCGGGACTGCAGCTTCTCGCGGTCTGCTGATGGCAAGTCGTCGTCTCCGGCATATACAATCTGGATTGTCATGTTGCTGTACAAGACGTTCTGGAGTGAGCCGATGAGGTGAGTGGCATATCGCATGGTTCCCTTGCCTGTTGGTATGATGAATCCGCGTGTTCCGGGGACGATGGACGAACGCAAATCCGAAAATGGTGTCTTGCTGTCTGGGCGCTTTGGTGAGTGTTGAATAAAAGGGAACAACGATGCGATTGCGCCTTCCACTTTCTCTAGAGTAGGCTTGATGTTTTCCGACTTGGGTGCGTTATCGAGAAATTTGACCCATTCTCGGGCTTTCTTGGCCCGCTGACCCAATTCGTAGAATTTCGACTTGTAAGGAGGTTGGATGGGATCGCCGATTAAGTTTTCGGCTTCATCACTGACCAAAGCAGCCTCTTTCTGCCATGCCGTCGGGCCATCTTGCTTCGGTTTGTCGGAACGTCGTGGTGGATGTGACTGCGTTTGCACCGGTGGGGGCTTGGCGGGGGACGTCGGATGATAAGAAGGAGTAAGAACATAAGAGGAGTATAAGAACAAGAACAACAGACAAGCGAAGAAGATAGCTGTGGTCATCCGCGAGGATGGCATGACTTTGACGACCATGCCGGCCAACTAGTCGCGAATTGCGACTGACATATGAAGGGAAACGATGTTCTGGCAGTAGGCTTGTCGCGTGAGAACGATGGAAGTAGGTTCACAAACCCAGGGGGAAGGGTGAGGTGCCCAAGCACATTGCTTACCTTTCAAAATTGCGCCAAAAATCCTGGCCCCACGGTTGGTTACGTATGCCAGACTAAAGTAGGTACGTAGTAGTCGCGTGAGGGTCCTTCGTCAATAGGTAGGGGGCCACAAAAGAAAGTTTAGTTCAAGTGACCAACAGAGTGATGAAAGCTGAAAGTGCATTCCATCCCATGTCCAAGTTGCATCGGCGCTTGTCAGCAGCGGCTGTCTCATGGCCCTCACTTCGAATCTTGAAGAACTACTCCGTACAACTAGACAATCACGGTTTCTTCTTGGATTTAATCGCGGAGAAGCCATCTTTCAACTTTCCAACGAGTCTTCCTTGTTGGCCTCGGTCGACACGGCATGGGTGTCCACCACATGGATCTTTGTCACAAACCAAGGTAACCAACAAAGCATCCCAACGCCACAAACATGGTTGAAGCAAGAGAGCGGCACAGCTACACCCACATCTTTTCCCGAGCTGCTTCGTTACTTCCCAATCAAGCTATGGGTGGAGACTGGAGAATCCTTTTTGACACCCAGCTAAGGATGCTTCGAAATCTGCCCAAGGAGCTAATAGCGACGAAACTCAAGTACGAATCCTATCAGCAGCCTAATACTGTTTTTCATACCTTATCAAGTAGCACTCTCTCTTCCTTTGGCTTACTCCTTTGTTTTGATTCCATTAAGCCAACTACCCTGTTTGTTCGGTGCTACTTGTCCGTCCCAGAGTCTTCGTCTTTCACACGGCGATGTTGAGGCCCACGTGGTTGGTCTTCTTCTTTGTTTGCTCATGGGTTCTGTTCACTCCGCTTTCCGAGGCGGCCAACTGTTTCAGCTATAGGGGGAAGCTCTTTACCGGCCAGGTACAGTATCCAGGGGCCGATGACAGTGGCAGCTTGCTCTCTACAGCCCTTACCTCGAGAGCTCCAAGCGGCGCAACAGCGGCAACAACTGCATTGGGATCTAGCTCAAGAACGGCTTCTATAAGCCCAGATACCACCAACACCGCAAGGTCGTGTTCTGGGGGAAATGCCAAGAACACGACTTGTAGGCACGGGCAGGACGCGAGTTTCCAGAATCCAAGTCTTGGTGGGCGCCTCGCAGCTCGCGTGATTGGGGGTGCGGCAGCAACCATGAGGCAGATGCGAAATGTCGCATCAGTCAGTTCTCATCTTTTTCGCTGATCTACGGTTAAAGCATTTGACAAAAGTGGCTCTCGGATGGTTTTTGGAGCAAGATTTACACGGAGTTTGGGGGCAGATCGTTGCTTGCAGGATCATGATAAGTTGGTCTAGGGCAGACTCAATAGTAAGAGGTGTGGATCTTGGCGCGGAAAATAGTGCGGCATTGATCAATCGTTTGTTCCCCGCCTTGGTAGATGTGCCTCGCGCCTTTTACTAGTGCATGTAGATATCCTCCGTTGTATTTGTTGTTGGTACTACCTTCAACCACCACCGCTGACCTTTCGGCTACCGGCAGTTGCGTCGACTGAGATTTCCAAAGCCTTTCGATTCAGTATCTCTCATTCCTTGGCATTGTCACTGGGCAGAGTGGCATGCAGGATCGAGCTCCCGGTCTTCCGTGCTGAGTAAGGACCACTCACAAATATCCAGGGTGCGCAGCATCCTTGCTGGTCCCGCTCTTTCCGCCCGCCCCTTCCTTCTGGCTTACAGCGCTGTACTTGTTAAGGTAGCCAAAAGATGATGGCCGGTCGAGCTGCTGCGCATAAGAGAGTCGCTAGGCACTTAGATCCTGCAAATTCCCAGACTATTGAGGTGCAGGGGCAAATCGGCTCCGTAATGTGGTCTTATTATGGTCGCTGTGTTGATGAAATTCCTCGAAGTCAGATATGATGACAAGTTTGCTTCAACAATGATGGATGACGGAGAGAAGACTGTGATCATTTGCAGGGTACGGATCTTCCCAGTAGATTTGATGGGGGCGATTTACCTGGGTCGGAAGCGGATGGTGCACCAACGGACCTATGAGAGGCGGTGGCTGAACTAATCGCAATGCGCCTAGGCCCATGAATGATCCTGTATTGATGCAGGTACAGGGGGCATGGGGGTAAAACAGCCCAGGCGCGGCGGGCTCTGCTTTATTGCTCTCCGGCAAAAATCTTTACGTTGAAGTAATGTCTTCATTTTCCGAGACTTCGAGGTGCCTTATTCTTCTTTCGGGCACAAAGTAGGTACCGTTAGATTGCTGCTGCTGACGATGTCAGTTACTGATGCTCTGGCTGAATCATCCATATATGTGGTTGAATTGTTGATAATTTTAACGCAAGCTAGATATAGGTAGACCTGCTGCATGGAGATACTTTACCCTTCTGCTGACCAAATCTTACGTTGTGGTATCCAAACTCGGCGGTTTAACAATGCGCTCTACCGTGGGTGACCGGTATCCAACTTGCCAAATCTGCAGTATTGCCCTTCTACTACTCAAAGAAGTTTGGACAAGAACATGAAAGTTGCTAGAATCTATCTTTTTTTGGCCAAATTTTTGCCACTTTGCGTCTGCGCGTGTCGAGGTCCGTCACATGGATGAAGTTAATTTATCATCACAACAGCGGACAGCCTGTAAGGTTCCAGCGACCGGCACAACGACCCGCGCCGCGCCGTTCCCGATTAGTGCCCCACATTATCGGACGGTTGATGCTCGCCGAAGCAGAGGTGGGATGGTGATCGAACTCTTTGAAACTTCCAAGATTAAACCATATGCAGCGGAAATGACAGAGTGGATAGCTACAAAACTGGACTATAATTCGCTTTTGTAAGTGACATCTGCTCTCAAGAATCTGATTTTATTTCTCCGAAGGAGGGGGGAGGGGCGACGCCTAAGGGTCGCGGACGACGCAGGAGCGAGTTTTGTGCGCTCGAAAGACGGTTGTGAGCGGTCCCGAGGGCTGAGCTTCATCGATCAAACTCTATTGTCGAGGTAATTCGTATCCCTAGTGTGAGATAATGACGCTTCAGAGAAGATAAATAGGCTGACAATCGTCATTGGTCGAGAATGAAAGAAGCACAAGACCAAGTGTAGTCATCTTGGGGCATCGCACTCAACAGACGACAGTCTACCCCTTCTCTACATGCAGTCCAAGTAACATTTATACCTTTTCAGGCCTTGGAGAATAAAGCCCAGCGCTTCTGCTTGCTGCAAGTTTCTTCGACAAAGTCCAATGTCTTGCAACTTCTTCAGACTGTGTCGTTCGTTTTTGCGAATATGCTGCGTCAATAGGCTTCTATTTTGAAGAGTAACATAAGTCCAAAGATACAGAATTCATAGTTGCGGAAGTGAAAATGAAGCCCAATGGTTTCAAAATGCGCCCTATCAGGGACCTAAAGAATTATAGCTATTGGCACACTAGGCCGTGTGGTGACACATGAAATGAGGTCTAAAACAATCAGGCTCTAAAGGCGCGCTAGCTTAGCCGTCGCAGGGTCCTGAAGTAAGCGACGCAGAATTTTGCCAGATGCGGATTTGGGAATTGCCTCAGTAAAAACAATTCCACCAGTAAGCCTCTTGTGTGCCGAAAGTCGGCTCTCCATGAATTCAAGAATCGATTCGGCGGTGACGTTGCTGTCTTTGGGGACAACGTGAGCCTGTGGATGTTCTTGCCCCTCTCTGGTCGCGTGTTCGTGTAAGTCAAATGAAAGCGGCGAATAGGAAAGGCATGAGCGCACCTTGTAACGCGAATAACCGCGCAGTCCTTGACTCCTTCATGCTCAAGGAGATGCCCCTCAAGTTCGGCTGGGGCTACTTGAAAGCCTTTCACCTTGATGAGTTCCTGTACTCCGAATAACATGGTCAGCAAATGCTTGAGAGGCCTCAGAACAATGCGGCACAAACCTTTTTGCGGTCCACAATAGTCAAGAGTCCAGTCTCCTGAATGGACACGATATCTCCAGTTTTCAGCCAGCCATCTTTGGTCCATGCTTCTTCAGATGCGCTCGGGTTCTTGTAATAGCCCTTGAAGACATTTGGCCCCCGAATGAGCGCTTCTCCCTCTTCATTGCAGGCAACTTCGCGGCCATCGTCATCGACGATCTTCATCTGCATGTTGGGGAGGATATACCCAACGCCTTTGTGCAATGGGTCGAACTCGTCAGGGGCAAACAAAGTGACTGCCATCGTGGCTTCGCTCATTCCCCATCCCTGTCGACTGCGAGCTTTGCCCCCGCTGAACACCTCTTCCAATCTTTTGGATAGCTCCGGTTGGAGGGGGGCTGCTCCACAAAACATGGACCTCACGCTGGACACGTCGTAACGGGGTAGGAGATTGCTTTTCAATAGCATCACAACTACCGGCGGGGCTAGGAGGAGATGTGTGACGCGGAACCGCTGAATTGTGCTCAGCAGAAGCTCAAGGCTGAACTTACGCATTGTGACTGTAGTGCAAGATCTGCGTACATTGACCACGCAGTAAGTCATGAGTCCACCTAAGCTCGTGGTCAATGCTTCGTGCCGCAGTAGTGTGTGGTTGAGGTTCTGGACTGCAACTTACTGGCATGATAAAGAGGCAGGAATGCACAGTGAACATCGTGAGTTGAAGATCCTTGGTCCTTTGCTCTCAACTCGCTCACTCGGTCAAGGTGAAGTGTCTGTTCCGCATTGGCAACAAGATTGCGGTGGGTGATCATGCATGCCTTGGGTTTTCCCGTTGTCCCACTACTGAAGTTAAGAACTGCGACCCTTGCAAATTGATCAGCATTGCGTTCATGCTTTTGTTCCCTTGCAGCAGCTCACTTTTCTGCCAGAATTAGAGGATCACTGATTGCCTCCCAAGAGTATGGCTCAGCCAACAACTTTTGCATGGTACGCCAGCGATCATGCCTAGGCCGACCCTTGTTGTCAACGAGGACGACAGATTCTTTTGGTATGCCGGCACTCCTTGCAGCTTGTAGTGCGGTTGTGAGTCGGATGGTATCCGTAAAAATGCACTTAGCACCGGAAACAGTGAGTTGGTGGGTCAGTTCTAGTCCGGGTTACCTATGTGCTCCATGCTTCGTACCGAGGTATCTCTGAGTACCTTGTTATCGAAGAAAGTTAATTCTTTCTAAGTCATAAGTATAAGAATATAGTTTTAATAAAATAATATAGTGCCTACCTAGTACTTAAATTAAGATATTTTTTTAAGCTTACTATAAGAGAAAGATAACTATATTACTAACTACTTACTATCGAGGTCCGTAAGTAGCGCTATAGCTTTAATCGCTATAGCTTTAACCGTAATAGCTTTGCCCGTAATAAGCGAAAAGTCTAATTATAAGTCCCTTAAAAGCCTCTTATTAAGAGCTATAAGAGCCTCTAAGTTGAGTTAAAATACTTACTAAGATATTAATAACTAAACTAACCCTACGATAACGACCTTAATAAAATACTTAGTAAATAACACTAGAATCCTTACTAACGTTAAGTACGATTTATAAAGCGTAGTAACGCGGCCGCAGAGTATTATTAATATATCTTATACTAAAAAAGGTATTATTAATATTAACGAGACGGATAGGGCCGTATTAATATAGCGCCTCGGCTTCTTCTTATAGCTCGAGGATAATTACTTTAAATAGTATTAAAAATCTATTAAAAAGCTCTCTCGAGTACTCTAGTATATTTACTACTATCTTTATAATAGTAAGACTCCTAGTACTTATATATAAGAGTAGGTTACTTACTTTTAGATAGTAATATTAACTTATTAATAAGCTATCGAAACTACGATTCTAGCGATCCCTTAACGAGGGAGAGGGTAGAATAGAGGAAAGGATAAGTAAGAAAAGGGTTGAGGTTAAATAGTGCGGAATTCGAGGGTAGGGTAGCGTCTATATATACTGCGGCAATCCTCTAGTAATGCAAAACGATGGAGTTAAATAGTGGTGCCGAGGTATCTCATCATGAATTCGTAACTCACCAGCCTCCGTGTACCCCGGATTGGCACCAGTGAAGATCCCACCTGCACAGATTGCCCCAAGGATTATAACTGGGTACCATGCCTGGAATGATGAGACACAATATTAGGGGATGGCCGCCTGTCATGGCCGTGGGACTACTCACAGAATTCTCAGTGTAAGCGAGAACAACATCGTCGTTTTGTATTCCCAATGTTTGTCGGAGGCCACCCGCTAGTTTCTTGACGCAAGTCTCAAATTCAGACTTACGGAGACTTTGAGCAGGTTTCTCGGCATCAACGAAGATAGGCAAATCCCCATCCGGGGGTGACGTTCCTGCAGTCTATTTTAGCAAACACAAAAAACAAAACACGTGCCATGGCGACATGAACTGTACCGAACACGTATGATAGAACATCGACTTGAGGTATGTCTATCTTGTATTTAGAAGAGAAAATCATGATGGTATTGGTAATTTCAATGTGTGTTCACTTGCTGGATAGACCGAGATGAACCTAAAAGAAAGACGCACAACGCCAGCAGAGGTGGTGACTGGCAAACGACAACTCCAAGAGAACACGTAGTTGTGGGTTTGATCTTTATATTGTAGTACCCAGTCGGGCCGAATAAAGAACCTCAAACCTTTGATACTTACGAGCAGTCTGCAGCATTGCAGGAGGGGCACTTACACGGACGGGCTTCGGGTCTGAACTTCTGAAAGCTTAATTCACCCGAAATAATCAGCTTAGCCCCGATGCAATCCTCAAGCTAGACATTTGAAGCGAGAACTGCAACTTCGAGCAACGGCTACGCCTTCCCCATTCAGAAAAGTGCCTTGGTACTGATCTCTATATTGAAATTCAGTCATAATTTTTTTAGCATCCGGAGTCTAGTTTTCTCCGCCGTGTTGGGGTGGAACGCGCGGCAAACGTTCAATGTTTGTATTCACCGCCTCAAGAAAAGGTCCGATCGGACACTCCGTCGCTTACCGCGGCAGATGCAGAATCAAGGGTCAAGAGAGAAGGGGCATTCAGACCTGTTGGGCAGCAAAATGCTATTACTATGCTGAGAAGCCATTACTGATTCGTATGCGGCTAGAGTCGAAGGTAGTTGCGGGGTGATAACAGGGTGTTTTCGGCCCTGTCAGTTCAGGCGGCGCGGCCCGGGGTTAAGTCAGAGCAGACACGGGCTAGCATCATGTGCGGCAAACAACCACGGGAAGCTGGAGTGGGATCCGGCCGGCATTACTGGGCTAGAGTAATTTTGGAATTCCCCTCAAGATAGAGTTGCGCTAGTATCATCTCTTGGCCTGCGGCCGGATGATTCGATATCTGCGTCGGTCATTTTCAGAGTTCGGTGGTTCCAGTATCGCTGTCACAAGTGCATGAGGTGGATCGCCGGGATTTTCGGGGTCCATCCCACTCGTCTCAACTTGCCTGTGTCTGAGCTATCATCTATCAAAGTTGATCCGTTGACTAAGAAGGAAACTCCGAGCGTTGAATATTGACAGTGTGGGCAGTACCAATCGAATCCTGGCTGAATAATCTTCGGGCTGGCCCCATTTCTCATGGACTCGGGTCTAACTTCAGGCTTCAGCTTCTGTCAGTTCGGGCGGGATGACAAGGGCCTACCATTAAACACACGTGGCCTTCTCATTTGGCATTTCGAATAAGATTCTGACTCGTCTTTGGGCTTTCGGAAGCAGATATAGACAACTTATCTGAGTCAGACGTAAGCTAACCACTGCCCACTTCCGATAACCTAGCAACACTCTCCGTTGGAACCTCTCTACGAGGGAACAGTTCCTACACGGTTTCGGATCAGGGATCATCAAGTACTGGTGGCACCCAGCCAAGAGGTAGTACCCAGCCTCATTTTCTCGTACGAGTTACACACTTTAGCCATGTCTATCCCCATTGCCCAAGTCTTCCGCCAACAAACTGCTGAGTTGAGTAGGTGTTATGAGCGTGTCTCCTAGTCAAAATTATGCTTGCACAACTTGAACCTCGATATCTTTGTCGACTAGTCTGCACAGTTACAGTAACAGTTCAATTCGCATGCTATCTCTACTGCCTAAAGTAGATAGATGTGCCTTAGATCTATTCCCTATTCATTCCATAGAGTTGTTCGAAGCTCTACATTGCATCTGCGTCACGGGGCACAAGTTCGAAAAGAACCGTGAGAGACGGGGGCAACATGTGATGCTGCTTGACACAAATCCAGCCACCATCCTCGAACACACCCTCCCAGTCCTCCACTGTGGGCAACTTGACATCCATCAGCGCATGGCCAAACTCGAAACCCAGGGTAAAGATAGGCACGTCATCCTCTTGTACTGCATGGCGAGATTGAGGATCATTCGTGAGAATCCGCACCGTATCGCAGATGAAAAATCGTTTTACACTCGGGAAAGCTTTGCGCAGCCTCTGCAGAGAGCTAATACATTTCTCCCGCGGCCAGAAGTCGTGGCCCATCAGAAAGGACGTCAAAAGGTCCACGTTGGCAAACTCATCCCGATAGTCGAGCTTACGCGCATCGCCGACTAAGAAATTGATGCGGCCACCATAACCACGCTTCACAGCATCTGACCTAGCAACCTCAATTGCCGGACCAGCAATATCGATGCCAAGTCCAGTGCTCTCAGGATAGCGGTCGAGGACTTGCATGATCCTCTCGCCACTCCCACTGCCCAGGTCCACAACGGAGGTAAAGTTCTGGCCAGACGACTTTAGGGCGTTGAGGAAGACCGGATCAATGAATTGCGTGTTTGCGTCACGGCACGCGTAGGCGATTGCCGCAGAATCACGCGAGTAAAATTTGCCCTCACGATTCTCGTTGCGAATGACGTATTGCATGCGCGCGAACAAACTGCCGGAACCAAGAGCAAGCCAGTGAAAGAGACTTTTGGTCCGGTATGCCTCTTCAAGCAACCTCCCGGGCAGGGCAGTTCCCCCCTGACGCTGGAGGATGTCAGAGGTAGCGAGCGCGGAGACCAGGGCGCGGGTCGAAGCGAGATCCAGGTTGCGGTTGGCCGCGAACTCGTCGATATCCACAGCCTTTTGTGTACGGACCTGGTCCAGTAGTCCGAGTTCCCAAGCAGTGCCGATGGCGCCGGCGGCAACGTAGGAGTTGAAGATCTTTGCAATGTCGTGCTCAGAGGAGAGCTTCATGTTGGTGATGGATCCCATTTTGACGGTGATAGTGATTGAGATACTTTTCGGAATAAAACGAAGAACCAAATAAGTTTTTCAAATCAAGAGGAAAAGCTTGAAAAAGTTCATGCGCTTTGAAAGGCAAATCAGTAGGTTTCTATGTGCCGTTGAGATTCCGGCAAGAGACCACGAGAGAGTCAACACGCCACTTTATACCCATGCTGAAGCTAAGGGGACGATGTTGCATCAACCTCAAGATTTTCTTCTGATGATACGCGACAAGAACAATTCCCGTTAACATCCCAAACCTGCAGGGTACGATAGTGCTTTGGAAGCCCAACGCAATGCAAGCGGAAGAGTTCCGATCATACTGGCGAGAAATTGGAAGTCCCGGAGTGTTCCACGCTGCCCGAGATTTTCAGCGGCCCGGTCTGTCACTTCCATATTTCGGAATGGCGACTTCGAGCTTCCATATGCTTCCGGTCGATTATGAGTTGACCTCTGACAAGAAAGACCGAATACGAGGTCTCTGTGTATCCAAGGACGAAATCCTGTCTCCGACATGTCAAAGCCAGAACTTGTTCTCAAATTGTTGAAGCTGTACTGAATCCTCCAGTATGCCAAAACCGACATGTGATAACTCTAGACCCCACAGAGCTCCTTGCTTTCATACCTCCGACTGAATTGTCTGCCCAGTGAGTGTTTTCACAGCCTACTTCCTCCGCCAAGACCATCCTTGCTCCTTTGAGTTCCCTCTAGATGTTTTCACTTTCAGGGAAGAGTTGGCCTGATGGATCATGGCCGCCCTGCAAACTCGGGATCAAAGTGTTGTCAGTTACGGGCTGCCTCTTGTGGCAAACCGGAGTATCATGCAAGTCAGTCGCGATGAAGACAAATTTTGGCTATAAATGGTCGTGCCTTTGACAGCAACATTTGGACTTCTTCTTAGCATCATCATCACAATAAGAAAATTTTAAAACTCGATCCAATCTCAAAACATCATTCAACATTATTTTTGCCTCAAAATGTCTTCCATCTCAGCCTCTACTCAACTCGGCACTTCTGTTAGTGAGACTTCCCCTTCAATGCCACCCCACCAGGTCATCCAAGGCTGCAGTGTCTGGCACTGGAAAGATGAGCTTTCTCCAGCAGAGGGCTGGATAGTTATCGACTCACCCGTGCCTACTCACTCGGGTGGAGGATTATTCCTTCATGAGGACGCAACTCTCAACGAGGTTCGCGACATTGCCCGCTCTATGAGTGCCAAACTCGCTGTCTCTTCTCAGCCTCAGGTCGTTGGTGCCAAGGGCGGCATTAGGTTCCCTCATGAGGACTCACGTGCTCCTCTTGTCTTGGAGCGCTTCATTCGCGATAACGCAGCTGTCCTTTCCGAGTACTGGGGCACAGGGGGAGACCTCAACACAGACCACGACATCATCGACAGACACGCTAGAGCCTACTGCTCTCCGGGCACTTTGACCGCTCTCGACGCGCTTAGTCGTTCACTTGGCTACTGCGGCTCGAACCCCAAGGAGATCCACGATCTCCTCGGAGAAAAGCTTGATAACAGTGGATGGGGCCTCAGCGAGTTCTGTGTCGGCTACGTGATGGCTGTCACTCTTAAAGAGCTCATTACCCACACGAAGCCGGAGCTTATGGGGCAAGCTCGCCTGGTTCTCCAGGGCTTCGGTTGCGTCGGTTCCACCTTTGCCCAAGCAGCTGCCCAGCTGGGTATTGGCCGGGTAGTTGCCATCTCCAGCCAGTACGGTTTTCTGGTCAACGACAATGGCATAGACTGCGCCTCGATCGAAGCTTATCGGCGTGCTTCCGAGAAGAATCCTGTCTCAGGACTTGACCCTCGGAGCCTAGAGGCTGGTCTTACAAAGGCCGAGCTACAGTCAGCTTTGTATGCCAAGCGCAGAGTTGGCTCAACTGACGAAGAACACCTTGTCGACTTCCTCGCCGCTTCCCAGGGCGAGGTCTTTGTTCCCTGTGCTCAGCGGTACATCCTCACACCCAAAGCACTCTCCACTCTTAGCGACAAAACCTTCGCTGAAGTGCCCCATGGCGCCCGATTTATCCTAGCCGGCGCTAATAACATCTTCAACCCTGTTGAGAGCAGGGACGAAACACTGTCCAAACTTGACTCTGCATCAATTCGGATGCTTCCAGAGTGGATTAGCAACTCAGGAACCTCCAACCTCTTCATGCGAGCCTGCAGCGGCCTCGCGCTGAAGGGCTATGCTTTATCCAACCTCGAGGCATCCGCCAATGACACCAAGGCGTTCATCAACACCGCTTTCGGCAGCGTCGGATATCGAGCAAGCAACATAGCTCTTTGGGAAGCTTGCGAGGACCTTGCGACTACCCGGCGCAGAACAGGCGCAGTCAATCTGCTCGGCGTTAAGCGAATGGCTCACTTGACCCTTACATCGCATGTGGTTGAGAGAGCTGCCCAAACAGTCAAGGAGGTCTATAACGCCAAGTTCAACAAAGATGAGAGCCTTTATAGACTCCCAGGTCTCGGCGATCCAACCCTCAGCATTGTCAAAGCTCCAGAGAGCGCCGGACCTGGAGACATCGGGCTTTCGGTTCGTTTCTCTGTCTACAACATCGCCAAGGCTCGTCAAGTTCTCGAAGCTCAAAGGATTACTTTTAAAGATCGACGTCTCCGGGATGGTTCAACTGAGCTTGTTCTTCTGCGCGAGGAAACTGGATACCCGATGAGCTTATGCCAGGCCCCAGCTGAAGAGCCAGCCAACGAAGACTTTTCAACTTCTCCCAATGTCCTGACTTCCATAGCGGGATCGACGCGCCAGCTCGACCATTATGCTGCCATCATGCCCGAGACTAAGCGTATGAAGGTTTTCCACGAGCGAATGTTGGGTTTCACTCCACTCCGCACTTTTACTGTTAACACTGGGTCCGCTGCTGATGGTAGTGATGATGGACTGATGCAAGTTATGGGCATTCCTTGTGATTCAAAGCGGGTAGTTATCCTTACGGAAGGATTGAACCCTGATTCGGTGTTCTACAAGCTGATGATGCGTCACGACGGAGCTTACCTTCACCATGTTGCATTGGAAGTTGAAGATGTTGACGCCGTTTTTGCTGAAGTAAGAGCCAAAGGTTGGAATACTACCGCGGAAGATCTCAGCTACGATGTTGCCACCGGTCTTCGTCAGTTTTTCTTGAAGGAGGAGGAGACTGGTTGCATCTTGGAGCTCATCGGGCGCAGTGCCAAGGACAGCAAGCCAGAGAACCAGGAAAAGTCCTCTTCGGACTCTGCGGATGATGGAAATGTTGTCAAAGGTTCCGAAGTAGAAGATGTTGGCACGTATGCCAATGGGCAGGTGGCATTTCGCACGGAAAATATTGTTGCCTTAGCTCGGTCTTTGGATCAATCTGACTAGCTCTATATTGTAGTCTACGATCTTGATACGTTCTGTAACACAAATCATTCGTTTTCGGACTGGGATACATTTCTCTGCCTTAGTGGCTGCTTCTTTTGACTAGGTGGTGAGGACGGATTCCGAGCATACCTACACTAAGTAATTTATCCTCAAATAGAAGTCATGACGCAAATGTAATTCTCACCTCAGTGATAACGTTTGCGGAGAAACAGTCTGCAGTTCTGGGACAACTATTACTGACTCATTGCCAGCAGCGGAATCACCATTTGTCTTTCTCTATTCTACAACATCTATCGAACTTCCGCTTTCAGTAGTACTTATGTTTATGTCTAATCTGAGGTGTCTACTCTGCTACAATCATTTCTTGACTAAGCCTTCAAACGCGTAGAGCGCTCTGCGTGGTCTTAATGTTCACCTGGCTATGATCAATCTCAACCGGATGGCGATCTCTTCTTCCCTTGGTGAAGCATGTGTTCTCACCCGTTGCATTGGCAATCGCAGAAATGTAGCACCTAGCGACTAACAATAATCTTGACACACACACACCTGAAGCGATGATCGAATGACTAATTATGGCATACTTCTGGTTCCTACTCCAGTGTGTTGCAGACTACGCAACTGTACTCAGTCATACCACAGTATTGCAAACGAGATGGAACAATTCAAAAATTAAACATATCAATTTATCTCGGCCGTTTCCAGCATTTGAGTCATTTCGCAGTATTCGCAACGTACGTCTAATACTCTCGAGGAGAATCCCTGGTATCTATGATGTCTCGAGGAATTCCGACTAAAGTAATCTGCCTCAACCACTCTTCTCATTATAGATGACACCGGACATCTGTTGACTCGATTGTTAGTGTCATGACTCAGGAGTTGGGTTGAGTTAATGATATTTTGCAGGAGCACGTACCAAAAAGGGGCCAAGATACGAAAGAGGAACACCGGCATCATCGCTGTGAAACATGGGTGTGCCATAGCCTCTCTGATTGGGGCAGTTCTTGAACTCGGGCGGGTTGGTGCGATCAATGAGCGACTGATACGGGTTGTAGTCAAAGTTGAACTCGCAGACGGGGATGTTCGACTATTTGCATATTGCGGTCAGCGAAAAAGGTCAAGAGAAGGGGCATTCAACAGATGAGCACTTACGGCGCAACTCAGTGACAGATCCTTCACATCAAAGGATTCGGAGCCATTCTTGCCTTGGCATTGCTGGGAGTCGATGTAGAGCTCATGCGGCGTGGTCCAGTTCTTGGAGAATGCGACGTCCAGAATTGGTTTCATCTGGTCCATGCCAATGTCTGTAGATAATGTCAGTATGGGTAAGAGTTGCGTCGGCCACGGTCCGTGGAAATGTAACGTACCATTTGCTCTCGCAAGGCCATAGGAATCCTTGCCATCGTACCAGATAGGGCCGCAGGTGCCGTAGGTATCCAGGTTAGTACAGTCGTACGGGTCGATAGGAATCTTGCGGGGATCAACGCCAGGGCTATAGACTAGTTAGCAAATTTGGGTTATTCCGAGGAGAATCGTGAGCTCACTTCTTGACGGCAAAGTAGTCTGCTTGCTGCAGCGCCTGGTTGAACGTCCACTTTAGAAGGTTGTGGTACATGAAATCGGTGTTCTCAGGCAGGTTGGTGTTCATTTTCTGTCGCAAAACGGTCAGTCTAAGCGCTCCGAGTCGATGTTGGCTGTAGAATGTGTTTTCCCACCTGGCTGAAACCGCCGTTGGAAACTAGAGAGTAGAATGTGTCGAAGTCGGTTTGGATCTTAGTCAATGCCTCGCCAACGTTCTTCTGGTACTCGTTGACGTTCTCTGAAAGAGCAGCTGAGAGACCTTCCCAGGGGACCTCCTGGACCTGCTTGGTGGGGAACAAAATGTTGAACAAACCGGCTCCACCACCGAGGGCACCGGTGAGAGAAGCAAAGACCATGCTAGCGGCGAGAGAGCTACCGAGCAAAGGACCCAGAGCCTTTTTGGTTGTCAGTACTATCGCTTTCTCGTATATGATGAGTTATGATACTTACAGCAAATTGACCAAGTGCAACGGCATAGATAGGTCCGAATAGAGGGGTTTTGGGGTTCTTAGTCTTGGGTGGCGAAACAGTCTTCACGATCTCGGCGACCGCACCACTATTGGTGAAGAGTCAGCAATCCAGCATCATATCATCACCAACGCGAACTTACATTGCGGTAGCTTGGCCGTTCAGGAGGGCTTGGTGATAATTAGTGAAGAAAAGATTGATGGCTAATGTCGCGATGATGTCAGTGAAGTTTCACAGGCCGCCAATAGCACGAGTGCTCACAATAAATATTCCAGAAGACCTATCAAAACTTTATTAGCAAAGTTGGAGCGTTTGCAAAGCTTGTAGAACCTACGTAGAACTCCTGGTATGAAGCATAATCGGCGTTGCGGCCACTCGGGGGCGGCGTGCATCCATTGAGGGCAATGAAGTCACAGCTCCACGTTATGTAACCCTGTGCTGGTGTTAGTCGGGGCAACTGGGCACGAACATGGTGGTCTAGTGTAACATACAGCTGAATCGAGATAACATTCAGCAAATCCCTTCTCTGCCGTCTTGCATCTAGCAGAGTTCTTGGACCACCAGTCCTAGTCATATTGTCAGTATGGACACCATAGACACGGTTATATATCTCAGCCTACGTTAAGATGGTTGTTCATCTGCAGAGTCTCCCAACACCCAGGCTGAATGCTATATTGGTGACAAAGACATTAGCAATTGTGGCACTTCTATAGATAACTCTTGAAACATGTATCGTACCCATCTTCGGAATGGAAGGAACAACTGTCAACGGTGGGATTTGCGCGTTCATCAAGCACTTGAGCCTCAATACGCGGGATCGATGCAACCGGAGACGCGCTCACGGCGAGTGAAAAGAGAGTGACAAGGTTCAAGAGAACCATTATGATTGTATGTTGCGAGCTGCAACGCGAACGAACAAGAGAAAGACAGACAATAGTGTCGAGCACTAGCTTTCGGAAAACAGCAAGAAGCCAGGGCATAGTAAATAAAAGCCACCTTCACCCACTTCGGCGAGTTGCCGCCGTTGCTCGATGCCTCTTTGGGGACGTGCTCGCATGATTTCGGGTTCCCCGCAAACTGCGCTAAAGCCACGACCCAGCCTTCAGGAACAAGGTTTGATGAAGGATGGCTTTGCAAGTATTATCCTGACATGAATCAGGTACACATAAGATCGGCGTTCAACTTTCTTTGATTAAAGATAACGCGGCGTGTCCAGGTAGATTGGGAGCCAAATGAGTTGAAGTAGTTAAACTGCCAACGCGAATTTACGCCTCAACGTCCCTCGTGTTTCCTCGGAACCGGTCCAAACTGCGAATTACTCGACAACTTATTTCGAGGCTTACTAGTTAATTGCTGCCCAGAGACACTTTGAGTCAATCTCCTGCTATCAGCCTTCCAGGCCTCCCGTTCCCACAGCCTCTACCGTTCGTCCGACGTTCTTCCCCCGTCCAAGCGTCATTAGTCTGATAAGAGTATTACAGCACCCAACACTCACAGCCGGAACTATCCTCCGTCGTCGAACTTATCACCAAACTCTCCAAAACTTCCTTCGGCACTAGTTCTTCTATTTTCCATCATGCGTTCTACGTCTATTCTTCAAATTTTTGCGACCTCAGCATACGTTGCTATTGCAGCAGCTGACAGTTGCTGTTGGGGTGACAACTGGGCCGATACCAACTGGCTGTGGCTCAAATGGGACGAACCTGCAGGAGTCGTTAGATGCGGCTTGAGTGGAACATTCCCTGCCGGTACGAAATGCACCATCGAAAACTCCAAGGACGCAAAGGGCAACCTCCAAGCGTTGACAAACGTCACATTTGGCGGTAACTCCGCACCATTCAAGTTCCGCATTGGCATCAACCCCAACAGCTGCGACCCTTTGCCTAGCGATCAGGTCGTTACTGGATGGGAGGGCTGGGGAGCAAATCTTTTTGAAGGCCATGACCTCACGACGCAAAGACTTGACGCCTGTACCCAAGATAACTCGGCATAGACTACAGGTAAGAAGTCTGGGTTGTCCATAGATTGAGGCTTCTCTAACAACATCCAGAACCCAGGTTAAGGAGTGCGAAAGTTATTGGAGAACCAGCTAGAGCCATTGTGCTGGAGGAAAGGTCGTTGGACTGTGTAATGGAGAGCCTTGAAAACGGCTGCTCAAGTGACGGAGTTATTTTTTCCATGTGCATGAATGCTCGCAGAATATCCCAGATTCCTAATGATATGATGTCTCAGTGCTACATCTTTCTCATTCAATTACGTATGCAATGAGTCAGAACTACTGAATCACCAGCCTCGTTCTGACTTCCTAAACCTCGCGTCAACAGCTAGATGCAACTGGGACTTTCGGCCGACTTACTCTCCTGCCTGCCATCTTCTGCTTTTGATCAACTCTCAAGTCTGTTCCGTTCTGCCCGCATTGTCACGCGACTATCTTCCTCCGCATGCACGGACATCAACTCCACGTCTTCCCCTTTTTTGTTGACTTGCTTCAAGCTTGATAGGAAGGCACGGGAAAATACGAGTAAGGTTAACATGTGTCATCCAATATCGCCGCGTGACAATTGATGGAGTTGACCAACTAGTCACGCGTCGCCAGGGAATGGATCTGGGAACCTGCTTGTTTCCGCGAAGATTATTTGCGGAATATGGTTCAAGTGATAAGCGGTCTCGCTCAGGTCCCGTGATCTGTTGATCAATGCTGCTCGTACTAAGTGGCTTAGCAATTTATTTTGCCTTTCTATATCAAACACTCGGCCGTTGTCTGAGCCGCAACCAAGCTTCTGCCCAAGTGTCCGCTTAGTTTGACTCGCGCAAACGCCGTCCCATCTCTATCATTTTCAGGCTCTCAGCTGTCACATCACCCCGCGATACGAGATTTTTTCCAGAAACCGAACTAGAATACCAACGACTGGGGGCGGTCTCGTCCGTCATGACCCGCATATTGTTAATTGAGG